GTTACAAATGACCTTTATATAAAAGTATATAATAATTAATGATAAAACTAAATTCGTAAATATAAAACATGAAAGATACCAGGTAAAATATTACGTAAAATTAATCTGGAGCATCGAAAATCAAATATCAGTAACAACAGCAGAAAACGTCATAAAACGATAAATACTTCATAAATAAGGTACATGTCACCATAATTAAAAATAGTTAGGAAAACAGAATATTACAACAAAATACTCTGAACTAAATGTACCAATCCTCCAAGTGCCTGATACGGAGTGTTTATCCGAGAGTATCTGAAAGGGGTAAAACAATTTGAAAAGTGAGCTAGAGGCTTAGTGTGTCCCAACAGTGCATAAATAAAAACTTACAATTAGGATTTTAAAAACCATTACAGATCACAGTCATTAAAACATCATAGGAGTTTTAAATTTAAAAACTGCGCATCGTCCTCCAACCGAACGCCATGTGCAGATCCCCAGAACTACACAACCTAAGGGAGTAACTCAAGGCCTGCGAGCCTACCCAAGACAATTTTTGGGGCCACTAAGGCTTACCCAAGAAAATTCTCAAGGTCGCAGAGCCTACCCAAGGCTCGACTTAGGTCCATAAGGAATTACCAATCGATACTGAATCTGTTAGAGGAATTACCAACAACGACTGAACCTGCCAGAGTCTTCATACCATAACCCAAAGTACCCCGGAGAAAACATTTTTCAGATGGTAAGTAGTAGTAATAGAAATTCAAAATTCAGTCAGATCATCAGTTCAGTAAACCGGTATCCAGAAATCATAAATCGGGCAATCATGTTTTACATTTCAGTAAATCCAGAATCAACTAAATCCAAAATAAGCTAAATCATACAATAGTTAAATCATATCAAACATTGTATTTCAAATCAGAGAAAACAATCATGTGCACATGAGATTTCAAGCAGATATTTAAAAGATTTATTTTGCACATATGGAACACACCTCGATAATAGGGTCAGTTCGAAAGGTCTATCGAGCACCAGCTTCACTAGGCTCTTCAACTGAACGGGAACCTAATCCATATCAGAACATGGTTATATTTGAAATAATATTCTAAATAGAATAACTAATAGGGTTTTAGAAATATACGAGTATTCACGGCCTCTCGTGCACGACCGGATCGGGAGGAATCGGGTCGAGTAGTGAAACAGTCAGGAGATCCCTGATTACCTTTAACATAACTATAATTAGTCATTGACCATTTAATTCAATTAACTAAATTAAAACTCTTAGATATATATGAATTTTTCAGGTTTACTGGCTAATTCAGAGGCTTTCGAGTCTAAATTTGACCAAATCGATTACGGAATCGGAATCAGGACATCGAAAAACATAAAATATGACTTTTCCAAAATTTGAATTTTTGGTCAAAGTCAAAGTCAATGGGTTTGACTCACGATTTGGAGGCCTTCGGGTTCGAATTTGGAGAAACAAACTTCAGAAACGGATTCCAGACGTCGAAAAATGTTAGGATATGTATACTCGAAAAAAAGTCAAAGGTCGTTTAATGGCCAGTCAACGCTAGTCAAAGTTCTGGTCAACGGTACTCACAATACACTTAACTTTTACAAAAATAGCACCCTAACAGAACTAATTACGAAACTAACACCCTTTTAAAAAAAATTTACGTAAATAACACCCTTTTAGAAATATTTACGAAATAACACCTTTTTAACAATATTTATGAAACTAACACCTTTTTAACAATATTTACGAAACTAACACCTTCTTAACAATATTTATGAAACTAACACCTTCTTAACAATATTTACAAAACTAACACATTTTTAACAATATTTACAAAACTAACACCTTCTTAACAATATTTACGAAACTAACACCTTTACTAAAAATATTTACAAAAATACCACCATAACCGAAATTAATTACGTATTAGTCATTCTTTTAAAACTATTTACAAAAATAGCAGCATAACAAAAATTAATTACTTATTAGTCACTCTTTTAAAACTATTTATCAACAATCTAAACCAACAGCAACTATAATATGTTTTCAATCTAAACACTGAAATATTATCCAAATTAAACGATCTAACTTTACCTACGACAGACAGACGAAACAAGACGGTCGTTGAAATGGCCGAAATCAACAAAATTAAAATGACGATCGGGGTTTTGGGTGTCTATTTCCCTTCTTGGTTCAACCTAACTGTGACCGATTTCGAATCGAGGTTGGTCAGGATCGCTTCGCGGAGCTCAGGCGCACCTGATAGAGGTGGCGGTGCTGTCCACTGCCGGTCAGAACAAGGAGGAGGAGGAGGAGGGTGGAAGCTAGCTTAAATGAGGAAAAATTGAATTCAAAACACGAGGGGGGTTCTGCTATACATGGGTAATCACCCAACAATTAATAATAAATCCATCATTTAATATTTTTAATAAAAAAACAAATGGAATAGTGGTTAAGCCATTGTCTGTCACTTCAATTTTTTTTCATAGTGCTATTATTTTATTCATAGTGCTATTAGATATATTTATTTTTATATAATTTTTTTATGGGGCAGAGTGTTACACGACGCCTTTCTATTTGGTTTATCGAATGAAAGTCATGTTCCTCGTCGAGGTTGAAATACAGTCACTTTGAATTATGAAAGAAGTAGAGTTGGATGAAGTTGAATGGATTGAAGCCCGATTTGATAAGTTAAATCTCATTGAAAGAGGTTGAAAGCTATTACACATGCACATATATAACAAAAACGAATGATGCGAGCTCATTACAACAAAGTTCATCTGAGAGAATTCTTAGAGGGTGATCTAGTAATTAAAAAGATCTTGTCTATTTAGAGAGATTTCAGTGGGAAATGGATGTCTAACTGGGAAGAGCCATACGTCGTCAAGAAGATCTTTTTCGGAGGAGCATTGATTTTAGCAGAGATGGATGGTGAAGTGTTAAGAAACCCGATAAATTCAGACTCTATCAAGAAATATTATGCTTAAAAGAAAAAAAGAAAGAAAAAAGAAAAAGAAAGAAAAATGAAAAATGAAAAAAGAAAAATGAAATGAAAGTGAAAAGGAGGGTTCATGATGAAAATCCACAAAGGGCATCTTCAAACCAAAGGAAGAATTTGAGTTAAAAACCCTAAAGGGTGACTCAAATGCATTGTGATATTAGGCATTCATTCATTAAACCCTTTAAAAATCCCGGTAGTTCGATAGAAGCTTCATAACTGCATCAAAATGACATCAAGGTGATTAGATTGATGTCAAGGTGATTCTGATTCAATCCTTGCATCAAAATGATTCATAATTTAATAAATCCTAGCCGATACATATTATTTAACCCCCTCTATATTCGATTCATACTGTGCAAATTGCAAAACCATATTAATTTGTAACTCAAATGGCTTATTTATATACTGTACGAATGTATTGCCCTATTTAATATATATATACGCATGTGCTAGCCAATTTCAATTTTTAATTCAAATAGCAACACCCAAATCCATTTGCTTTTCTTATATTTATATTCTCTATCACTCGTAAATGCCCTTTATCAGCCTTCATGCTTTGTTTGTTTGTAACACATAGTAGATACGTAGTAACCATCTTGGTCGTAGTCCACAAGTCTCATGGCGGAACGGTTAAAACTCGATCGAGCAAAAATATTCATTCCCAACCAGATCATGAAATATCCTCGTAGCTATAAACACAACAATTGAATTGTCATTGTAATGCCCCAAATATTGAATTAAGGACTATATTGAAAGGATTTAAAATTTGAGAATCTATTTGATTAATTGATAAAAAATGAGAATGATTTGGGAAGAGTAGTTTAGATTAAATTGTAGTAATTGAGGCTGAAAAGGAAATGTTGGTCATTAAGAATTAAATGAATTAAAAATTCATTTCCTTATAGTGTATTAAAGTAAGAATAAGGGAAAAGGGGGATTCTATGAGGTCAACTCTTTTCTTCTTCTTCTCCCCGTGGATAACTCTTCTCCCTAGCTCAAAGATCAAAATCAAGCTCCCGACTCGAGTAAAGCAAGAGGCAAAGGTCAAGTCCCGGAGTAATCATATTTACATTTTGGATATCAAAGCAAGGCAAGCCTGGTGAGTGCATTTAATTATGTACGTATATGCTATGATAGTCATAGTTGTAGGAACTATTGATGTATGTATGGTGATTACCAAATGGCACTAAGTGTGCAAAAAGTTAAGAAATTCATACTAAGTGTATGAATTTCCGTATTGGGCACCTTGTGTGCAAAAATTTAAGAAATTCATACTAAGTGTATGAATTTTAGTATTGGGCACTTTGTGTGCAAAAATTTAAGAAATTCATACTAAGTGTATGCATTTCCGTATTGGGCACTTTGTGTGCAAAAAGTTAAGAAATTCATACTAAGTGTATGAATTTCCGTATTGGGCACTTTGTGTGCAAAAAGTTAAGAAATTCATACTAAGTGTATGAATTTTCGAATTGGGCATTTTGTGTGCAAAAAGTTAAGAAATTCATACTAAGTGTATGAATTTTTGTATTGGGCTCTTTTTGTGCAAAAAGTTAAGAGATTCATAATAAGTGTATGAATTTCTGTATGGGAAATATGTGTATAGTCATAAGAAATTTATAATAAGGAGGAAGATTTTTATATTGGTAATGGGTATGCAAACCATATAGATTATGGTAATGGTTGAGAAATGACGGTATTAACACTACCAATGTAAACCGTAGAGTGTTTAATGAATTAAAAGAATCCCTTGAAATGTAAAAAGAGTTTACATGCCGCTAAGATGTTAAGTTATTGATAGGGTATAGAAAGAAATATGATAGATGTCTATCCTCAGTAACTTAAGTACTATTTTAATGAATGTTGTACTAGATGTCAGATTCTATGAATTTGAGAAGAGCGACTGGGTGAGAAAGTAGAGACGGATCGAGAAGTGAAAGTTATGAGGAAAATAACAAACATCTGATTCCATCAGAGAATGCCAGTGCACCGGTACCTTAGGGTATGCATGTTCTGGAGTTCAGAGCTTTTATACAAGCTCTATATGCTATCTTGACAAGGTTTCAACCCCCTCCACCTGCCCCTGCTCCTCGAGTACCGCAAATATTAATCCCAAAGGAGTTAAGAAGTTTGGGACCTCCTGAGTTCAGGGGAGACGACAGTGAAGGTCCAATGGACACTGATTTATGGTTGAATGATGTTAAGGCAATGTTGGATAGTTTGCAATGTTCGGATCATGAAAAGTTGAGTGGAGCGGTATCATTACTCCGAGGATCATCTCGGGTGTGGTGGATAAATATGACAATGTATTTATCACTAGAACAAGTGAGTTGAAAATTTTTCCAAGATGAGTTCAAAAACAAGTATATTGGGGAACAATTTATGAGATCTATGCTGCTGAAATTTTTGAACTCAAAACAAGGCGACTGAGCGGTGCATCAATATGAGGCCGAATACAACAAGCTTAGTCGTTATGCTATTGAGGTGGTTCATAAACAAAGCTCGACGGGATTGGTTTATTGAGGGTTTGAGGCCAAAGTTGAAAGAGATGATGATGGCTTTAAATTTTCCTAGCCCGTAAGAAGTGATTAACATAGTGAAGGCTATTGAAGGAGCTCAAGAGGAGACGTTAGCAGCGGAATAGAGTATTCAGACTGGAAAAAGGATTGGAATGTCTTCATCTACACATTATGAAAAAAAGGGCACGATTCACTAAAAGAGCTGATTATTCTACAACTTCACGGAAAACTAAGCAATCCAATTCCTATGCGACTAGCTCGAGTAGAGCTCATGGAGAGAAACCTCTATGTCAAACATGCGGCAAGTCACATGGGGGAGTATGTAGGTTGCTTTCCGGTGCTTGTTTCTATTATGGTGAATCTGGTCACTTTACTCGGAGTTGCCCGAAGAAATCAGGAGATAGATCAACACAATCGGAGAGATCAGTCGCCACACCAAGTAGAAGTAGAGGAAGAGGAAGATCACATGGTCAATATGAGTCTAGCCAAAGATAAGAGACTCGGGGTGTGGCTCGAGTTTATAATATAAAGACCAGTTAAGATAGGGATGATACATAGACCATAACAGGTATATTTCACCTTTTTGATGAGCATGTTTTTGTTCTAGTTGATCTTAGTTCTACGCACTCATATATTAGTACAAAGTTGGTTAGAACTAGAGGAATTCCTTTAGAACAAATTTCTAGTGAAATGATAGCAGTGAACCCTATGGGTAGTAGTGCAAGGGTAGCATGAGTGTGTAGAAAATGTCCAATTAAGATTCAAGGGATTGTGTTTTTGGTAAACTTGATGGAGTTTCCTTTTGATGAGTTTGAAATCATTTTGGACATGGATTGGTTATCTCCACATCATGGATGGGTAGATTGTCGTCGAAAATGATTATTTCTTAAGGATACGGAAGGCTTCAAAATTATGGTGATAGGTGATAAGACAAAATCCATGTCCAATGTGATATCGGCTATAACCGCAAAAAAAATCATGTCAAAAGATGCATAGCTTTTCTAGCTAATGTGATAGACACTCGAGTGCCAGAAGTACGATTACATGATATCCCCACAGTTAGGGAGTTTCCAGAAGTTTTTTCTGGAGAGTTACCGGGTTTACCTCTAGATCGTGAAGTATAAATTAGAATTGAGGTTTATCCGGGAACCGAACATATTTCTATGGCTCCGTATCGGATGGCTCCAACGGAGTTAAGGGAATTAAAAGCTCAGTTGCAAGAACTACTCGACAAAGGATAAATCAAACCCAATGTTTTCCTTGGGGAGTGCCTGTACTATTTGTGAAAAAGAAAGACGGGTGTATGCGGTTATGTATTGACTATTGTCAACTAAATAAGGTAATAATAAAGAACAAGTATCCTCTTCCGAGGATTGATGACATGTTTGATCAAATGAATGGTGCAGCAGTGTTCTCTAAGATAGATCTGATGTCGGGGTACCATCAGTTAAAGATCGAAAGACTTTTGCAGCTTTAAGGACTTTAGACACACATATGTCTTTGAATGAAGATGGTGCTTTGATTGTCGAATTAAAGTTAAAACCGATTCTTTTGGATTGTGTAAAAGAACTGCAAGGTCGAGATAAGAAATGTTTGATGAGATTGGCACAGGTTGAAAAAGAAGAGATAAAAGATTTTGAAATAAGGGATAATGGATGTTTATATTATCGTGGAAGGCTTTGCATTCCCGATGATGATGATTTGAGGAATGATATTCTTTGCAAAGCCCATTATAGCCCTTTAAATATGCACTCAGGCGGGAATAAGATGTATCAAGACTTGAAGAGTCGTTATTGGTGGTCTGGCATTAAAAGAGTTGTAATAGAGTTTGTTGCTAAATGTTTGACATATCAGCAAGTGAAAGTTGAACATCAAGTTCCATCTAGGTTACTGCAGCCAATATCCATTCCTGAGTGGAAGTGGGAGTGAGTCACAATGGATTTTGTTTTGGGTTTACCATTATCACCGGATAAAAAGGACTCGATATGGATAATAGTAGACAGATTAACCAAGACGGCTCATTTTATCCCAGTTCGAGTAGATTACTCGATGGATAAGTTTGCGGAGTTGTATATAAAAGAGATAGTTAGACTGCATGGAGTGCCGATATCGATAGTATCCAATCGAGACCCAAAGTTTACCTTGGAAGTCTTTACATGAGTAATTGGGTACTCAATTGAACTTCAGTACAACTTTTCATCCGCAAACAGATGGGCAATCAGAATGAACTATTCATATATTGGAAGATATGCTAAGGGCATGTGTAATTGAATTTAAAGTATCATGGGATAAGTATTTGCCTTTAGCAGAATTCATATATAATAATAGTTATCAATCAAGTATTAAGATGGCCCCATATGAAGCTTTGTTTGGGAGAAAATGCAGAACACCATTAAATTGGTTTGAACTGAAAGATCGAGACCTGGTCGGCTCAGATTTGATGAAATATATGAGGATAAAGTGAAAATTATCCAGAGCAATCTAAAGATAGCCTCAGATCGCCAGAAGTCCTATACAGATTTGAAAAGAAAAGAAATAGAATATCAAGTGGGAAACAAAGTATTTTTGAAAGTATCGCCTTGGAAGAAGGTATTACGTTTTGGGCGAAAAGGAAAACTGAGTCTGAGATATATTGGACCGTATGAGATATTAAAAAGGGTTGGACTCATGGCTTATCAGTTAGTTTTGCCTCCGCATATGGAAAACATCCACAATGTTTTTCACGTATCAATGCTTAAAAGGTACAGATCAGATCCATCTCATATTATCACACCTAAGGAAATATAGATCTGACCAAATTTATCTTATGAGGAGGAACCAGTGGGATCTTAGCTAAGGAAACTTAGGGATTTCGTAACAAAAGGATCCTGGTTGTTAAAGTGCTTTAGCATAATCATAAGGTTGAAGAGGTTACCTAGGAAAGAGAGGAGGATATGAAAAAGCAGTTTCCACATCTATTTGCTTCAGGAACTTCTTTAAATTCGAGGATGAATTTTCTTAAGGGGGAGAATTGTAATACCCCAAATATTGAATTAAGGACTATATTGAAAGGATTTAAAATTTTAGAATCTATTTGATTAATTGATAAAAGATGAGAATGATTTGGGAAGAGTAGTTTAGATTAAATTTTAGTAATGAAGGATGAAAATGACATGTTGGTCATTTAGAATTAAATGAATTAAAAATTCATTTTCTTATAGTGTATTACAGTAAGAATAAGGGAAAAAAGGGGATTTTATGAGGTCAACTATTTTCTTCTTGTTCTCTCCCCGTGGATAACTCTCCTCCCTAGCTCAAAGATCGAAATCAAGCTCCCGAGTCGAGCAAAGCAAAAGGAAATGGCCAAGTCCCGGAGTAATAATCTTTACATTTTGGATATCAAAGCAAGGCAAGCCTGGTGAGTGCATTTAATTATATACGTATGTTCTATGATAGTCATAGTTGTAGGAATTATTGATGTATGTATGGTGATTACCAAATGGCACTAACTGTGCAAAAAAAATAAGAAATTCATACTAAGTGTATGAATTTTCGTATTGAGCACTTTGTGTGAAAAAATTTATTGGGCACTTTGTGTCCAAAAAAGTTAAGAAATTCATACTAAGTGTATGAATTTTCGTATTGGGCACTTTGTGTGCAAAAAGTTAAGAAGTATGAATTTCCGTATTGGCCACTTTGTGTGCAAAAAGTTAAGAGATTCATACTAAGTGTATGAATTTTTGTATGGGAAATATGTGTATAGACATAAGAAATTTATAATAAGGATGTGGATTTTTAGATTGGTAATGGGTATACAAACCACATAGATTATAGTAATGGTTGAGAAATGATGGTATTAGCACTACCGATGTAAACCATAGAGTTTTTAATAAATTGAAATAATCCCTTGAAATGTGAATTGTAATAAAATAAATTGTGTTTAGAATTTTATTTATGATTTTTATGCCTCACTAAGAATTTTCTTAGCGTGTGTTAATTTCACACGTAGGTTTTACTTCCAGTGGAGTAAGGAGATTTTTCGGACATCGAAGCAAGGATCACCTCTTCATTAATAGTATGACACATGTCTACTTTTTGATGTATTTAGTTGGCATGTAACATATTTAGTAAAAATGCTCTGAAGAATATTTGAATGGTACTTCTATTATGTAATTAAGTTAATGTACATTTTGTACTAGTTTAATTAGAATGTTTTATAAAAAAAATTCAGGTTTTCAAAAGAATAACTTCTTTAAAAATAATGTGACATCTATATTCCGTGTACGGAAAGGTATACGGGAGATGGGTGTTACAGTCATAATATATCATTAACATTCTAAAAATTGAATCCATATAACTAAGTCCAAAACAGGGTCAAATCTATCATACACATGGGAGGGAATGTGCCCCAAACAATTTTTTTTATATTTAATTTGAATATAAAATGTAAATAATTTATGAGATAATTATGAATTGCTCCATACTTTTTAAAAAGTTATATATTATCCTTCTCTAGTTAAAATCCTGGTTCTGTTCTTAACCAACAATGAAACTCTTTAACCATATTTCATGTGAGGTAGCCCAAAATATTAAACAAATTCAACACGTTAAAGTTTCCTTGATTTTCCTCCAAGATATAGTTTTGACATGAAACATAAGTATATAACATGATATTAATTACGTGACATTAACACAATCAACAAATTATGAATTGGAGTATAAAATTACCTCAAAGATGTCACATGAAATTCATTACACACTACACTTAATAAGCTACGATCAATGATATAAAGTAAAACATATAAATGATATAAAATAAATCATATAATAAAAATACAAAACAAATAATATGATATTACATTATTAGACTTTGTTGGCCAAATAATTCATATGGAAAAATTTGAAAAATACATGTATTTGAGAATTAACTTGAGATGCAGGCCATTTGCTACAATATATGTAGAACTCATGTAATACGCAAAATATAGGACATTTATTAAATTGAAAGGAATTAAAAATATGGAGGACTAAATTTATTAATTGATAAAGAGGAGAATAAGTATGAATAGTAGTTTAGACTAAATTGTAGTGAGGAAAGAATAAAAAAGGGCATTTTGAGTATTTGGAGATAAATGAATTTAAAATTCATTTATTATAGTAGATATATATTAGAGAAATAAGAGAGGATAAAAAGAAAAGTCAAATACTCTCATCTTCTTGCTCTTTTACGTGAGAAAGCTTTCAACCGTAGCTAAAGGTAAGTTTCTAAATTAATGATTTATTCCTTCAATTGTTGTTAGTTATCAAATCATCGCCTATGAGGGAAACTTAATAAAGGTTTAGAGGGGATTAAAACTAAGTTAAGAATGAGATATTAAAGATTAAAGAAAATGGGTTTTATAATGATATGTTGATATATAAAGGTTTAGTAATGTTTTTTTGGTAAAATTAACTTGTCAAAAAGGTAAATGAAAGATTAGAAGCATTTATTAAGTGAAATAACAAGTTACAAATTA